ATTAGGAGCGCCGCCTTCAGGCTGAGGGTGGCCCAGTCAGCCGCCGATGGAGCGGCCCGTAAAATTGGCCGGTCCAATTCGGAGCGTCCATCAATCCTCGAACCAAGCCGGCGCAATCGGCGAGGGACTGCAGTGATTCCGTAGCCGCCTTCCTGCCATCCCGGCAACCGGAGCAATGAGGTCGGGCGGTGGTGACCAATGCCATGCGGACAGGCTTCCCAACTTAAGGGCTGCCGCTCGATCAGCGTTGGTTACTGGTTGGCCAAGGGGATGGTGCAGGTGACGCAGGCCTGGTCGCCGTGTGTAGCAGTTGTGTGGCCTTGCCGGTGGTATCCTCCACCAGGCGGGCGTCGCCGGGGCCGAAGACGTGCTTGGAGCCGTCGCCCAGGCCGATCTCCAGTTGCCCGGACAGGATGACGACAAACTGGCGGCGTGGCGCCGTGTGCCAGTCGGAGTAGCGACCGGCCGGGGCTTCACTGAAGCTGATGGTGGTGGTCGCCTGGGCGCTCTTCCAATCAGGCGTCTGGTCCAAGTCAATGGTCTCAATGTGGGACTGGCCGTCATCGCCAGAGTAAAGTCTGAATGTTCCCATCCTGTTCCTCCGTTTGGGTCTGTACGGGATACGGTCAGGCCACGGCTGAAGGCTGTTGGGCCTCGACCCTGGCGATGAACTCCAGCAGTTGTGCGGCGTAGAAAGTGGACTTCATGTGGTAGCGGTTGGTGGCGGCGATGCCTGGGAAGGTGTTGTCGTGCTGACCAATGACCGCCCACTCCTCGTGGGTCCACGCCGATGGGCGCAGCTCGGCGTTGGGTACCAGCCGCTTCACGTTCTCTGCGGCAGACTTGTGGTGAACGTCGTCCGGCGTGTTGCCCTCGAAGGCCAGCACAGGGCATGTGATGGACTCCAGCTGCTCCTCAGTTAGGTCTCCCACCGGGTTGGGTTGGGAGAACCGGTCCCGCCAGCGGCGCATGACAGAACAGAACTCCTCGGGGTCCATGGAAAGGATCCGTTCCCGGTTGTCAGCGTTGTCCCGGATGCGCTGCTCGAAAAACTCGGTAGCGGCCACGGCGGGCATACCGCCTCGCTCGGCGGCCTCGATGTACTGTCCGTAGTAGCCGGGGGACATCAGTTCGGCGCTCCTCGGCCCGCCGGAGACTTCCCAGACAAATACACCCTTGACCACCTCCGGGTGCCGAACCGCCACCGTCAGGGAAGTGCGCGAACCGGCGGACCCTCCGGCCACGTAAGCCGGGGCAGCGCCCAGGTATTTCAGCAGAGCCGCCATCTCCTCAGCCCAAAGGTGCTGCTCGGAAAGCTCACCACCGATCACCACGTCGGACTTGCCGCAGTTGCGGCGGTCGTGGATGATGACACGGCAATGGGTCGACAGCAGGGCAGCCATGGGACGCAGGCCGTTGTGGTCCACCCGTCCGCCCGGCGTCAGCATGACCGTGGGGCCGGCGCCATACTCCTCATAATACAGGTTGACTCCGTCTATGTTGGCGTAAGGCACTGCTCACTCCTTTCTGTTTGAACACCGCGGCACAGGTTGGGCTAGGACCGTGACACCGGCAGTTTGGCACCTTGGAACGGCCCCTGGGTGGCCTCAAAAGGACTTGGAGAAGGCCAGAATCTCCTCGTTGGACTGGTTGCTCAGGTCGATAGGACGGCTGAACCCCTGTCTTACCACGTAGCCGGTCTTGTAATACAACTCGACCCGATTGTCCTCCGGGTCGAAAAAGTAAACGCTGCAGGAGATTCCATGGGTTACCGTCTGGTCGATACGGACGTTTTCCGCCAGCAGCCGCTGGTACAGGTCTTTCAGAGCGTCCATGCTTTCGACAATAAATGAAACTTGTCCGACGCCGGTGGTCTTGGGCCGGCGTCCCATCGGGTGGTCATCGCCCCTCGCCTCTCCCAAGGCCAACTCGTGGTGTTCATTATCAGGGTCGGCGCTCAGGAAGCAACTTCCCCGATCCGGGTCCTCATCGGTTACCGTCAGTCCGATGACGCGGGTATAGAAGTCCCTCATCTTGAAGAAGTCGTCGCAGACCAGACCGACGTGACCCAAATTGCTGACCATACCCTGCCTCCTTGCGTTGTATTGTGACTCCAATCCCGCCAGTCCGGGTGCCACTTCCACCAATCCCGGTCCCGGCATGGGCTGATATTAACATGGGGTCCCCGCCCGTACAATGGCTGGGAGAACACGACCGTTGGGACGTTGGCATATGCTTCTGCGCATTTCACCTCGGCTTCGGTTTAGTCCTGCCGGTAGCGACGACTATTCTTGCCGGTCGAGATGGGCAAGCATCCAGACCTCCGGCGAGCTCTTGCGCGGGACACCGCTTGTGCAGATACACGGTGAGGGTGAACTCTATTGATACCCCATCTGCTTCACACAATAGTCATTACGTGAAGCGATCCGTTCGGTAGCATCCTATTTGAGGCAACCACTTGCGTTGGGTAACGGTTTTATTGAGGCAATGCGCGTAGGTCAGGTACTCGTGGAGGAACTAGTTGGGCACCATGCCCACGGCGTCGTTGTGCTCCAACTCAAAGATGACCCGCTCGGCCTGCTCGCCGGTCATCCACTCGTTGAGCCGCAGAAACGCCGCCTTTAGCCTGCCCTTGAGCAATACCCCCTCATCTCTTGCCCGTGGGGTTCCTCGGGGACGCGAGCGCCGTAAAAATCAGCATCTCTAGCGGTCAGAGAGAATTTCTCAAGCAACTCTACGATATTTCAGCTTCATCACCCAACTTCGGGGATTCTGCATTCTCAGTCACCATGAACATAGATATCAGGGTAAACCCAATCCGTTCAGGTGGGGGCAGCATTGGTCTAACCAATGACCAATCCGCACCGCGAGTCCAATTCTCCGACGACGAGGCCTTAGAATTATTCCCGGCGTCATACGCCGACGTAGCGGCTGCTTGTAGAGATCGATATCCCGGATTCAGGCAGAACCAAAAATTCAATGCCACAATGAAATGCGTAAACGAGGACGCAAACTGCGCCCACGAACGACGACTGGATCCCAAAAATCCGAAAAGCGCGAAGAAGAGGTACTACAACCTAGAATCAACGATGACGAAGTTGGATGCTGAGTATGACCATCCCCACTAAATTCAACGAGTTTAGCCAGGCTGAGGAGCCGGCCCGCGTCCTGTTGGAGAAGCTCGGTTGGGCGGACGTGGTGCCTGCCAGCCATCCCGATTCGGTATGATATAAACAAGCTCGGGACAACCGGAGGCAACTCTAGCCTTTGACCCGGTTTGGACCCGAAGGAGGAGGTGATGGCGCGGACGGATTTGAATGTAAGGTTTGATGGTCCTGGGGTCGCCGATGGCGTGCCGCTGGATGATTGGCATAACACCCTGCAGCACGTGCAGACCGCACTGCGCCTGATGGTAGGCTACCTTTCTGGCAATCCGAATCAACGCGGGCGACCCCAACGTGGTGCGCCAGCAGAGTATGCTTCGATTGCGCACGACCAAGCTAGGATCTTTGGTGGCCGAGTTGGCGCTGGCGCCGCCTTCCGAAAGTCAAGCTACGCTGGAGAACTTTGGTCCCGAGGCTTTGGAAACCATCCTCAACTGGCAGCAAGGCGACGATCCGTCTGTGCCGCCAAACGTCGCCAACGAGCTAACGGCAATCGGCAGCGATCTATCGCCGGAGACTAGCGTGGTTGGCATCGGGTCGCCACACCAAGGTCGTTACTTGGAATTCCACCGCCAACCACGGCAACAACCGGAGGAAACCACCAGCGACGAAGCTCTGCTTCACGGTTGGCTCAAGGAAGTGAATTGGGATCGGCACACTGCCCAGTTGCATCGCGGCGTCGGCCGCTACGTGGCGTTGCAGTTCTCTTCCACCCTGGACGAGGACATGGTGCAGCTGGCTACTCAGTTCGTTTCTGTCTCAGGCCGGGGCACGTTCAATGCCGATGGGAGTTGGCGCTCCGTCAGCGTGGAGCGAGTCACCGCCGTGCGCGCCTCGGACGAGCCGTTTGACCTGGATGAGTTCCGAAGCGTGCTCGACCACAAGGTCTTCCGCGGCGCTGACATGGTGACCGCCAGCGAGCCCTTCGACGTAGAGGAATTCAACCGCATCATCCGTGAAGGGCGCGACGCCTAATGCCCACGGAGGCCACGATCGTCGTGGTAGATACCAGCGTCGTATCGGTCATCTTCAGGCAGGACGCAAAGGCAACCCGTTACCAGGATTACATTGAAGGACGTTCCGCCGTGATTTCCTTCTCAAACCGTCGAAGAGCAAATCTACGGAGCATACCTGAACAATTGGGGAGATAGGCGAATCAACGAGTTGGAACGACACCTCGCCCAATACAACGTGATTTGGCCCAACGCCGAACTCGTGGAAGTCTCCGCTCGGTTGAGGGTCGAGAGGAGGCGTGCCGGTCGAGAGCTCAAGACGGCTGACGCCTGGATAGCCGCGACTGCATTGATGCTCGGGTGTCCGCTAGTTGCCGACGATGGCGATTTCACCGGATTCCCAATCTGGAGTTGGTGAGGTTTCAATGACCACTCCCAGCAAGTTCAACGAGCTTAATCAGGCTGAGGAACCGGCGCGCATCCTGCTGGAGAGGCTGGGTTGGACTTACGTGCCGCGGGAGGAGCTGGCAGCCGAGCGTAGCAGCGAGCGGGGGTTGGAAGCAGTTGGCGATTGGGTAGGCAATGGTATGCAATCGTAGCGTTTGGTTCGTTCTTGGTTAGTGTGGTTAGTGACGTTGGTTTGTGGTGAGGCGAACCTGTGTTCTGTTACCATTGCAGTATGGCTCATAACAGGAAACGCCGCCGTCAGTCGGCTTATTCGTCTGAAGGTTATCTCCGCAGACGAGGTCGTACCAGACCCGCATCGCGGTTTATGAAGGCATTGACCGTTCTGTGGGCGATGCCGCGCTGTCGGCGTATGCGGCGCTGTATGGCAAGGTGCAGCATAAGCTGTTCGCCGACGTGGCGGCGGGCCGGTCGGCGGTGTCGAAGAAGAGCGAGTATATCGAGAAGCACGGGATACCGGCGCGGATGTTCAACGCGGTGCGGATCACGCTGGACGGCAAGGTGTCGGCGGTCGGAGTCTCAGCTTTTGCAACTGGACAGCCTGAGGCGTCGGGTGAGCCGTGCGGAGAAAGCAGGTGTTGGAGGCCGAACAGGGGTTGTCAATGGCGGCAGGTGCACGGGAAGCGGCGGCGGTTGGCTAACCTGAAGTTCCGGCTGGCGGGACTGAGCCGACCTTGCGGCTGGCCGGGTGCGTTGTGCTTCGCTCCAAGAAATTGTGGCCGTAAGCAGCATCACCTTGAGCAGAATTGGGTATGCCAGTCATGAGGAATGGCAGCAGGATGGCGGGATGTCGCAGCAACGAGTTCTTCGTGCTGGGCAGCCGGGATGAAACGGCGGGGTGCCAGCTGTGCGTGGCGTCCGTCAATGACGACGGTACGCTGACCTTGCGGTTGCGGATGCCGGACGGCCTGGCGGGACGGCACGGCAAGTACCTGGTGGTTCCAAACGTGCGGTTTGCTTCTGGGCATGATGTGGTGCTGGCTGCGCTGGGGAGCAACACGGAGTACGCGGTGTGTGTACCGACGGAGCATGGTGAGCAGGAGGCTCGAGCCACGAGGTTTGGTCAAGTCATAGCTACCGTTCAAGCGTGATGCGAAAGGGTGGCGGGTATTCGCCACCACGGAATAGCCGGAGGTGGAGTCACACAGATCGGCGGCGTGGAGCGGTCGGGGTGGACCTGAATGCAGATCATCTGGCCGTAGTCGAGACTGATGCGAGTGGCAACTACGTGAAAGCGTGGCGGGTGCCGCTGGTGACCTACGGCAAGCGCCACCATCAGGCGGAGGCGTTGATTGGAGACGCGGTGGCGAGTTGTGGTTGGGTACGCGCGTGGAGTCGGGAAGCCGTTGGTGATTGAGAGGCTGGACTTTCGGCAGAAGAAAGCGTGCTGGAGGGAGAGTCCCGCAAGTACGCGCGGATGCTGTCCAGCTTCAGCTACGGCAAGGTCAAGGCGTACTTCTGTCCCGTGGTTATCGGGAAGGAGTTGAAATCGTAGCGGTCAACCCGGCGTACAGTTCCGTCGTGGGCCGGGTGAAGTTCATGGAGCGATACGGGCTGACGGTGACACCAGGCAGCTGCCTTGGTGCTGGCCCGACGCTTGCTTGGTTGTTCGAGCGCATCCCCGCCGGGGGTTGTCCCGTCGGCAATGGCGTGCATATCGCCTTCACCGTACCGTGAGGAAGCGAGTGAAGCACGTGTGGACGTACTGGGGAGCGATAGCGGGGCAACTGAGACGGCGGCAGTGCAGCGCAGCACCGGCGGGGAGGCGGAACGCCGACCCAATCCGGTTCAGGCGTGGGGGTCGCGAGTGGTAAGACACGCGCGGTGGCTTGAACGGGGATCCGTTCGGTGCTCCCGGGTGGGATTCCCGGGTGGAGTCGTCTTGAACAGTTGGGACGGCGGCGCGGCCTAGACCGCGTCAATGGCTGACGATGGTTTGTAACTAAAGTCAACCATTTTTACAACGGTAGCGACTGACTCGCCAAACCATTGCATGCCAATCACAACAAAATTTTTGACGCTGGCGGTGCCGAACTCCAAAACCTTCTGACTGGCTTGGGATCCGAGCAAGCCCAAATGAACGGCTTTGTTTCTAACCAACAAAAAACCACTGAGATTTAACCTTACCTGGTCCGGAAGGGGTACTATTCTCATCGCCTCCCTCAAGCCAATGCTGAAGGGCTCGCCGGTTTCGGGATCCCGTTCATATGTTCGCGAACCGCGCCTCCGTCGATAAATGGATTGGATCTTGGCGTTGGCCTGTTGAACGATGCGTGCCTTGAGGAGTACTTCCCAAGCGTTGATGGCTAGCATGGC